CATTGAGCCATACTAAACACAACCACGTGTAGGTGCAAACCCCCCATCTTCTTCATAGTTAAAATCCTAGAGATACACCAAAGAACACTGAAAGTTAGCGATCTTGAGTACCAAATGACAACAAACAAATGAGCCACACACGTGGTTCAATTCCTACGGTGGTTACAACGTCAAAAATGATAATGAGTAAGCATACACACGCAACATCCATATTGTCACAAGCAAGTCGGCAGGGCAATTTCGGTATCCACCAAATGGCCTAATCACCAACATAAGCATGACCGACCAAAGACATCGACAAGTCAACCATTCATGAGACGAGATGAAAGAAAAGATTAACCCAAGAAAGTGACAAGGGGAAGGAGAAAGAAGAAGAAGAACAAGAACAAGAAGAAGATAAGAAGGAGACATGACACGTCAAAGTCTCCCGAACGAGAGATGGCAGACACTTAATAATGGAAAATAAAACTCCAGCCCACATAGCTCAACTCTCAAGTAGGCGCCGTGTCTTGGACCATATCCTCAAGACTATAGCCAAGCTTTCCGATGACGACCCCGTCGACCCTATATGTTTCATCCGGAGCCGGTTCCAGAATCGTCAGGGGTCAAAGTCATGCCGCCGAGTGCCTATTGACGTGCCAATCTTTCTATATATTACGACCATTTCATCAAAATGGACATTGTTTATTTTTTGAACGCAATTGAAACTGAGTTTTTTGACTGAAAACTCGTCAAAATTTGTTGTTCCCGAGGGTCCAGCGTTTTACAGCGTTTTACAAACGCTGGACCCCCCCGCTGTACATGGACCTAGCTTGAGACCAGGCACCTCCAGGCAGGACTGCCTGGAGGTACCTGGTCTCAAGCTAGGTCCATGTACAGCCAGGGGGTCCAGCGTTTTACAAACGCCTGACCCTCAAGAACAACAAATTTTGACGAGTTTTCGGCCAAAAAACTCGGTTTCAATTTCGTTCAAAAAATAAAAGATGTCCATTTTGACGAATTATCAGCAAACTTTCAAACCCTATGAACAAGCAGCTAACCAGTACCTAGTTCAAACCCACAAGAGGACCAAAGTCGTAACATCAGAAGGTAAGAAGTTCAAAGGCAAGTGGAGAAAAAAATATTTGCGAGAGAATCAGAGGCTCGATAAGAAAAAGCTCGGCCGGACAAAACCAACAGGGCTCGCCAGTCGATTCTGATAACTTGAACCAACAATGTCCTTTGCAGATTACAGGCCATTAAGCCACTATTTCACCTTATTTTACCATCAGTGTACAGAGCTCGAAAGAAAAACCACCGCCTGTTCTGGCTACGTAACTCAAGAAAGCCCCCTGTTTGAACGTGCCATAAGGCCCCTGTTTCAACCCATTTTATCCCCTGATACGTTCATGATTAATGTTCCTCCCACTCAGTCAGATATTCGACCGAATGGTCCCGAATCCCTCTAAATTTCAAAGAGAACCCTCGTAAAGACTTGTCAAAGATTTCGTCTGGAAATCCCCGCAGCCTCATCTCCACCTTGAGGGCGAATAGAAGGTTGTGACGCCCAGAAGGAAGAAAGATACAGTTACAATCGCGCCCGCCAAAAGCAACAGTTGCACAAGATTAAGGGCGCGATCCAGTCAAAGCCCAGTTTCCAGTGCAGCAAGATGCGCGCAAGCGCGGCGCAACAAAATTCAGAGTACTTAAATTCTTAGCCTAAGTCCTAATTGCAAAAGGAAATTCCGAAGAGCCCAAAAACAATTACGCGAGCCCGTGGGAGCTCGACATCAGTTGAAAATTCAAAAAACAAAAACGATATTACAGCGCGATGATCGCGCCAAAATTTCCTAGTGCTCACAGCAGAGCAAGAAGGAAGTCATGACAACCATTGGCCATCGCACTCGTTAAGGCACGGTTACCCAATCGTTGGCGCGGGACTTTTCCGACACAGACCCGACAGATTCCACAGAAAACAAAAAGAAACGAGGGCATCCATGCAATTTTGCCCGACCGACCCATCTTTCCACAGCTCATCCATTTGTCCCATCCATTTCCCTAAGGCAGCTTCGCGCAGAAAGTCGCGCGATTACAGAAAATGGTTCGTCCCAAGGTAACTTCAGCACCCGGAATACTTGTGAACCTTTTTACCCGATGCAAAAGCGACCCAATGACCGCCATGTTTTGCCTTTTACTGACTTTGAAAAAGTAAGCCCTTATCCAGAATCGTTCTCTGATTCTTGTGAACAGCCGCACATCTTTTTTTTTTTTTTTTTTTTTTTTGGGGGAAAAGGTAGAGAATCCATTATCAAAGCACAAAAACTTTGAGGCCGGGAATCCTCCACAAACAACCCGATGGAAACATCGCACTAGGCTCTTGGCCCAACTTTGGTTTAACCAATCAGTAAGCAGCTTAGTCTATGCTAGTTGTACTGTTCCTTCAATCGAGCCCTCTGCTCTTCCTGTACGTACCTACCCAAACAGAAACCTTCTTACCAAATTAAACTGCCCGGTCTAAATCGACCTAATTTGCGGGGTACTTGCCCCCAATGACACTCCATCCACCAACCCGGGATTGTAGTTTAATACAACAATGAAACGGTATTCACCAGTTCGCACTAGCGAATGCAGATCCTAGGGCTCGATCCCTAGTTCCCCGTCTTACCTGTGTACAGTACCAGTGTCAACACGTAGATTTGAACCTGCGACCTGTAGGACCGCCAGTGGTAGGTAGGTTTTCATAGGTCACAGGGTAGAAGGGAATCGAACTGTAGACCTGTAGAGTAGGAGTCTAGACAGTTCCGAAGTCGTAATTGTAGGATGTCTGAAGGGTCAAGGTCGTAGCTGCTACTTACTCGAAGGGGCAAAGTCGTAGCTGCTACAGTACCGAAAGGCCAAGTTAGAGGTTTCTAGAAGTGGCCTTTCAGAGTGAGCCTGCGTTGAACAGAGGCAAGTGGTCAAGTGGTGGAAGGCCACCTCGCTGAGTCAACAGTCCCAGTTAGGCAGTCCAGTCTTGTCCAGCAAGTACCGTCTGGGACTGTGTGCACTAGGGGCAAAGGGACATAGGGCAGACCAACGCAGCGCAAAAGTATAAATCAAGAGGCTGCGTCCAGCCATTCATTCATTCCTGCGGAAGCCATGCGGAAGCGCTGCCTCAGTAGCTTGTGCGAGGAGGTCTGCAGAAGGCCCGAAGACGAAGTGGGCGAGAGTGACGTACTGTAGCCATAGCGATAGGTCGCGGCAGCCATAGCTGCCATAGCTTAGTGTAGCGTCCAGAGTGTGTGTACTGAGTGTGTGTGCAGAGTGATGTGCGTGGGACATCCAGGGTGATCCAGAGTGTGAACAGTGAGTGTTTGAGGCGCACAGTCGCCATAGCCAGTGGAAGCGAACTTACCGGGAAGACATCTCTCTGTGTATTGTGTGGGCGCAAGTCGCCAGTTGTGTGCTGCTGTTCACGTGCATGAAAAGTGTGAATAAGTCGAGTCTGATTGCACTGGTATCGGAGCTGGTACCCGCTGTTCCGTGCGCGCCGTCGTGTGCAGGGCTGATGCGCCATAGCGGAAGTGTTTGCTGGAGAAGGCAATCCGCCATAGCGGAGCTCGAGGTGGAAGAAGCCGTCGCGCACCTGCATCAAGAAGACCACGACGAAGAAGCAGATCGAGAGAGAGAGAGAGAGAGAGAGAGAGAGAGAGAGAGAGAGAGAGAGAGAGAGACAAGATTGTGTTCTTACCTGCTGCGCTGAAGATACCGCTACGGCGGAAGAGAGAGAGAGAGAGAGAGAGAGAGAGAGAGAGAGAGAGAGAGA